CAAAAAGAAGTTCTTTTAGATGTCTCATACTCTGCCCTTTATTTAGATACTGCTTCAATTTCAAATGGAATTGCTAAGATTAACTTCTCTCAAACTCAGTCAAGACTTGTGTAAATGGAATTACAGACCTAAGTTGAAACCTGCTTGTATCTTTGATCTAATTAATTTGGAATAGAAACAGAGGCCAAACTTACAAGAGTTATCATCGGCAATGAAAATGTCTCATCATGAAGTTCTGAATGAAGCTATCCCAAAATTCAGTTAATTTCAAGATTCATAAGAGGCTAATGCCCTTGAGAAATATATGTGTAATTATATTTTTTAAAAGAAGAATTTGTCTTAATGTGTTTTACTTGCACTGTCCTGCTTAATAGCTTTGTGTTTTGTTTTGGGGATTTTCTTTTTTAAGCGATTAACAGTTACATACACATATAAGAGCCTGATGACTTTTGGAGGCTATCAAGATGATTTCATGTTGGTTGTTAACAATGCTCAGACAAAGGACAAAACAACCGAAAAACACCTTTTTGCCATGGCAAAACCAAAGGTTGGTATATTACCTGAAACTGTTTCCCACCACCTGCTTTTGTGCTATGTTTAGTGGGTAATCTTTAACAGATGTGAAAAATGAAACACCTTCTTTAATCCAAGCATTGTCAGACTATTGACTTTTGCCAGATGACTTCAGAGTGCAAAACAATTAATAATGTAAGAGCTACCTGTGGCAATACTGATGTGTTTGTTTTCATGTCCATTTCTCTAACATTGCAGATTTTGCATAGAAGGACAAAGAAGAATAAGGACAGCAATTACATGTGGTACCTAAAACCTAGTCTGTTTGCTTGATGAGCACCAGAGATAGTTTGTTTAAAAGTATGTTTGTGTTCTGCAGTGAAATTGGAGAACACACCATCTGAAAGATCAGTCTTGTGAAAAATCCTAGGATATTTTTACCTTTGGTAAAAAGAAATTTTATTGCTTTAAAAATCTAGATTCTCTCCTTCACTGGTAAGATTGACTATATTTCTTTAAAAGAAAAAAAAAAAAAGATTTTGGTGTTAGTCAGAAAAATTTATGAAACAGAATACAAGATTCCACATATAAATTGGAGTCAAAACACGACTCTTCATAAATAAGCATAGCAAAATACATCTGTTCAAGTTCCCCTCAGATTGTGCTGTTACAGAATCGCAGAATGGTATGGGTTGGAAGGAACTTTAAAGATCACCTAGTTCTGCCCCTCCCTGCCGTGGACAGGGACACCTTACAATAGCCCAGGTTGTTCAAAGCCTCACTGAGTTGGCCTTGAACACTTCCAGGGGTGGGGCATCCACAGCCTCTCTGAGCAACCTGCTCAGCGTCTCATTAAGGTTTGTATGGATCAAAAAGAGAAAACAGGATAAAAAGCTCTGGGAAGTCTTTATTCCCTTTATCTACTCTGCATCTTGACTTCTCTGAGCACTGGAGATTTTCTGGCAAAACTGAGGGACCACACTGTGAAAGCTTTTTCTCAGAGCATCATCCTTTGGACTCAAAGTGAAAGAAGCCATCACTCTGAATCATTTAAGACTGTGAGAGACAAAGTATCTTTGATATGTACTGATGGGAATAACATTACATTATTTGCAAGGAGCAATAGAAAAAAGCTTTATTAGGTATCTCCTCTCTCCCCATCATTAATTTGTAAAGTGCAAGTACTTTTCTAGTTGATGGTGATTGTCACTTGCTAAAAAGTTAGCTATTTTTTCAGCAGTCAAAACACATCACTGTATTTTTCAAAGAGTTTTGTATGTTCCTGTTATAGATTCTTGAGATCACTCTACTGATTGCCAGCTACATTAACAACTTTCATCAGCTGAAAGGAGCTGCTCATCACCTCTCTGCTCCAGCATTACTGGCACCTCAAAGTGGACAGAAACTCAAGGAAATGGGGAGTCAGCCACTTCTGACAATCAACAGACCAACTAAATGTCCCACTTTGTTATGAAAGGATTATGAATCGTGATAATCTTCATTAGAGGGTTTCTACACTGATTGAAAACCTTCTGATGTACAAGACATAGAGCATAAGCAGGTCCATAAACAAAAGAAAGGTGGACGGGTTTACATTCATTTCAGTGGCATCTAACAGGAGTAGCCCTTTAGTTAAAGCCCTGGCTTGAACTGGAATGATGAGGAGCCACTTCAAGGATTATGATTTACTGGTGGTCACTTGTGCCCACAATTGTTCCCTGGCATTGAGAACAGTTGTCTAGATTTTAATAGATTTTTCCAGATATATACTCAGGGACCAAACTCTCTTCAACTCTCTTCAGCTGTTCATCTCTATTTTTCAAAATTATACCAGTTGTATAACCTTCATTTTGAAAAGGAACTTTTGTTTAAAAAAAACAGTCAAATACAAAATTATTTCCACTTCCAGAACCATTGCAATACAAGCACCATGGGACTAAAAAGAATGAATTGTGTGTTATTGTTTCTCCTTTAAAAAAACCCCAAGCATAAGCACATTGTGTAACTATTACAAAAAAGAGTATTCTCATGATACACTCTAGGCTTTGTTATACAGCTATTTTACTTGGCAAATCTTCAGCCTTGGTCAGGTCAATTTCTAAATAAACCCTCTCTGCTCCAGCCTTTTGAAAAAATCTAAATTGGATGGGCACTGTATTTAGTAGAGTTTTGTTAAACAAGATCCTGTATCTAATTTCTTTAATTCATAATAATAATGCAGATGGCAAGAATGACTCACAATTCAAAACACAAGAATAACAACAGAAAACCATTGCTTGAACTGTTGTAAGTAAACCTGGAGACATATAAAATCCATGTATAATATGTTTAATGTATATACATTGATTCATAATATTATTTTGTAAAAGTCATGCTTTTTTGTTGTTCATTTGTATTTATACATTTCATATTATAATACAAATACAGTGTTCTTGCACACTGAAGACATAATGCTGCATCTGCACTACTGGACCTTGGAGAACTTTCCAGTTGCCTTTTTCAGCTGCAAGCCTCAGTGCTACAGAGGGTCAAATGTATAGAAATTACACACGATTTTTTTTTTCCTTCCTGTCTTCTTGTTTTCATTTCCATGCAAATAAACTACTTCTGCAGGGTCTGAAATGGATCAGCAGCATACTCCAATAGATAATTTAGGTTCAACCATAAAGAAGGTATTCAAAATAAATCATCGATTTATACAGATTTTACAGTTTCCACTTCTGCTCATGCTAATAATCATGGATCATTAATCCCTTACTGCCAGCCCTCACTGGTTTTTGTTTGGTTTTTTAATTATTATTACTTAAAACTGGAGTAATTTCACAACTGAAAATCTCTGGCTTATGATATTTAAATATTTCAGATATTTACATACTCATAGTGAGAGAAAAGGAATTTTCAGCTATTTGCCTTCTGTGAAAGGTAGGGAGTATCCTCCTGAAGAATTAAAATAGACTGGAAGGGAGATACAGGCCATGAAGAGAAAACATGGTCTTTAGTGGAAAGGCAAACAGGCAAGCTGACTTGATAAATACATTCCTACAGAAAGCTTTCAAAGGTCTTGCCACAGCTACTTCACTCCACAGGGCTCAGACACCATGAATGGTACCACGGACCAATGCTTTGTCTTGAAAATTACAACCAAATAACACACATTCTTATCTAGATGCTTTCACTATTGCAAGGTGGAAAGAACTTCCTGGTAACTTCCACCCCCTCGTGGTGGTTGTGGCATTAGACCCTTCTGTTTGAGCGAGGCAGGGCCAGCAGCAGGAGGTTTACCTCCCTATAGGCAGCCAGTCTCTTGCCATCATCCAGGGAAGCATGTTGGGAGCTACAGGAGACCTTGGCACCAACTGCAGCATCATTTTGTGTCACACCCTGTGTGAAGTGCTACTGATACCACAGTGAAATTCATTTAGGAATTAACACACCTTTGCAATCAGCAGAATAGTTACACTTCAGATTTGAGGTTGGCAGGGTGTTTACAAATTCAAACAGATGCTACTGCACCACTTAGGTCATAGTCTAAAGTTTCTCAAATATGATGACTAGAAACTTTAGTTTACGAACACAAAAGTCTTCATATCATCATGAAATTATGATAACCTAGAATACTCCAACTAGCAGTTCTTTTCAGTTTCAAATGATTGTGGCTGATCAGGTTCTGTTATTAGAAGGCAAAAAAAGTAGAGCATTTTGGTAGAGAGTTTGTCATGTAGTTTTTTAAATCTTTGCTAAATTTTGAGACAACATGATGTACAATGCAAAAGCTGATCTGCAGATTCGAGTTTTTTTAAACAGCTTTCATTATCACAGCCTTACAGACAGTTGTTTTATAAAGCAGCATACAATCTATGAAGCCAAGTATGACCTTCCTGCCTCCCTCTGGGGAGGTAACTCTAGACACTGCTTTGCTTTTTAGTGTTCAGCTCTTGCTGCTGCAGAAGCAATTCATGCATGTTTCCCTCTTTATGGCAGCACTTTCCAGACCTACTACTACCAGCTGCTCATTATAGGTCACCATTAATCCTGTACAGCCACATTAGCAGAAATGCTGTGTTAATTTTTATGAAATAAATGCACTCAGAATCACAGTTACCGTGACAACACTGCGTTAAACAATGGAGCTTCTTCCAGGATTTTGATTAGCAAGAGTGAGGTTTCTGTAGTGATAGTAAGCTCTAGCAGACACTTTCCTTCCGAGAGTCAGCAAGTGGAGTCTCTTACACACGCAAGTACATTTCCAAACAGAGCTGTGCATATCTCAGAGGACTTGCTCCATGTTAACTGAGCTCCAGAGCTACCACACAACGCAAGACAGCAAAGCTGAAAATTTCAGAGCCCAGGCAGATAATCTGCCTTCCAGCCTAAGTGTCATGAGTAATCTACATCTCAGTCTTAACCTTGAGCCATCCACCAGAACAATTCATACTGTGCTACCTAATCCATGACTAAAGCCCAGGTAGGAACTAGACCTTTCTCACCTCCTGATCTTCAGCAGTGATGATACTGTGGGAGCTGCCAAATGAGCAGGAACTTCTGGGACTGATGCTGAAGAACTTCCCATTCTCAAGGCTCGCAGAACCTAGGTTGTAAAAATACTGTCAGGATGATATGTCACTACATGCAAGGGGACTTCACCTTCAGTCATGAACTTAAGAACAGCTTTTGTGCTTGCTTTGAACTAGGAGTCAGAAAGTAATATTTAGAATGCAATGTAAATTAATATATTACTTGAACTTCACTTTGCCTTGTTAGCTTCTGAGCACCAGTATTAGTAAGAGAACTGCTCATTTCTAAAACAAGCAAGACCCACTTAACCCTTGTAGTACAGCAGGCAAATTATAAAACTTTGAGTTTTTAATACAATCCACAACATTATTGTTCTTTGTTATGTTGGATTTATCTTTTAAATAGAAGCTCATATTTCCCTATAACAGAAGGTTGGTGTCCCTGGTCAGACTAACACAGTTTTCATAGGTTTTAATTTTTCCTGAAGGAAAGTCATTCTTGCATAAAGGAATGCAGCACTTAAAGCCTTAGGTAGAGCTTTAATAGTCTGTACAGTTTAGTGCAATCCATTAGCTTGAGTTAACTTTAACTAAGGTGATTAGTAACTCAGTAATAATGAATTAGGAAGAAAAAAATTGTGTTTTTTGTTGGGTTTTTTTTACAGTTTCTTAGGGCAAAAGAAATGAAACTGAGAAAGTTGGAACATAAAATACTGAAAACTCTAATTTAATTTGGGCTCAAGTACACTTAATAATTGCACACCCTTACACTGTGCTTCCCAGCTCAGATCTGTGCTGCAGCATCTTCCAGATTTGCCATCTCTACCACTGAGTAAATCACTGTAAAAATACTTTGCTTTTCAATGTTATACTCTTGCTATTGCAGTAACACCTGCCTAGGTTATAGTGCCAGGAGCGATTCCTACCATAGCTTTGCTATATTTGGCAGAGCAAGACCAGCTTTGTCCAGGGATTTTACTACATCTAGCTGCTGATTATAGATCAGCATTGGCTTTATATATATACCAAGATACCAGAAGTGTTCTATTGAACTGAAATTCATGAAAGAAACACAATTAGAAAGGCATCAGCATGACCTGCACTGTACAATGCTAACCAATGAAGTTTCTTTCTGGATTTTAATTAGCAAGACCATGGTTTCCATAGGAGTTAAGCAAATTCTTTAGAAGATGCATGTAAAAAACTGTAAGTAAATAAACTCAGACTAAAGTAGCCATATGAATGCTTCTGGTACTGAAACTGAGTGATTATGCAAGCTAAATTTAGAAAAAAAAAATCTTATGTAAAGAACAGGCATTGCTTAGGTCAGTGGAAGGCTACATCAGCCTTCTTTGGGTAGGGAAGAAGGAACAGTTAAAATTAAATCTGAGTTAATCAGTATGAATGAGTTCACTTTCCTGGTTTTGATCAAACAGATCAAATTCTTTCACTTAGATTTTTCTGTCTTTACTCTCTCAAGACACAAAGCAGCTACTCAGCTACAGAAGGTAGCTGTAACTGTTGTTCCGGATTTTGGGGTCACTTCCCTGATGTAGGACATCCTATACCCCTTTCATATTCAGAGTCACCCCGCTGTTTTACTGCACCCTTTAAATGCTACTTTCTAATCCAAGCCTAACATGATTTTTTAACTTGATTTTTGATAGATCTTGATTGAAATAATCTAGCCCCTGTTTGTTACAGCACCTTACTCTGTATGCCCCAGTAGCTACCAAATCACAGAATCCCAGAATGGCTAGGGTTGGAATGGACCACAGTGGGTCATCTGGTCCAACGTCCCCACTCAAGCAGGGTCATCCCGGGGCACATGGCACAAGATTGCATCCAGACAGTTCTTTAATATCTCCAGTGAGGGAGACTCCACAACCTCTGTGGGCAATCTGTTCCAGTGCTCGGTCAGCTGCACAGTAAAGAAGTTCTTTCTCATACTCCGGTGGATCTTCCCTATACTCCTACACATCTGTTTCTGCCCCTTGCCTCTTGTCCTACTGTTCAGCACCACCAAGAAGGGCCTGGCTCCATCCTTTTGGCACCCCCACTTCAGATACTTACAGGCATTGATGGGGTCCCATCTCAATCGTCTCTTCGGGAGGCTGAACAGGCCCAGCTCCCTCAGCCTTCCTTCGTAAGTGAGATTCTCCAGTCTCCCAATCACCCTCGCTGCCCTCCGATGGACAATAAAATAACTACACAATAATTATTCTAAGATAATTACACTTTCTTATACAGCAGTCTTGTATAGGGGAACTACTCATGTCTCGTTTCACTCCCTCCACTGGTAACAAATCTCACTTAGGGGCCATGAATAGTTTATCAGGAGCCAGCGCTTAAGGCTGAGGGCAGATAAGACTCGCGCCATTTATGACTTGTTCACTCATCCCTGGTTTCCTCCACAGCTGGAGTATTTTGCCCCTTCACGAGAGAGGCTACAGTCGAGCTGTCCTGGGTCCGGCAGGAGGGCGGGGGAACCCCCCGAACAGAGGCAGCCGGGGCGAGCTGTACAGCGCCGAGGCGAGCACAGCGCCGGGGCCGGGCTGGCGGAACTACAGCTCCCGGCGCTCCCGGCGCCGTTCCCATGGACACGGCGAGCCGGGCCCGCGCCCCGCCGAGCGATGGCCAAGCCCAGGTAGCGGGGAGCCCTGCCCGGGCTCGGTGACGGGGGGTCGATCCCACTGCTGTGAGGGGAAGGAGCCGGCGGCTGGGGAGCACAGCCCGGAACAGAGAGGGAGGGAAGGAGGGAGGGAGGCGGGCTTAAAACGGGCCGTTCCGGCCTCTGCCCTGAAAGGGAGCGGGGCCGGGGACAAGAGGGGGCACGCCCGGTCCTTATCCGGTTGCTGCTGTAAGGGACCCCACATAAAAGGAGTCCGCGGGTGAGTCTGAGAGTGGGGGAGCCTTCGTGGCCCCGAGCAGCAGCTTCCCGGGACACCGAGCGCGGGTCCGGAGCTCTCCCGAGCCCACCGAGCCATGCCCGGCTCCTCCGGGACCGGCGTGCGGGATCTGCCGCCTTCAGAGGCTGCCAGCCTTCTGCAGGGTCCTGCGGAAAGCCTGAATCGACAGAAAACCTTTTAAACGTGCCAGATACCGGAATGGGCTGCCCGGGAAGGTGGCGGAGTGACCGTCTCTCGAGGTGTTTTAAAGAAAGGCTGGACGCGGCACTTGGTGCCATCGTCTGGTTGACAGGGTGGTGTGTTCGAACATAGGCTGGACTCAGTCTCAAGAGGTCTATTCCAGGCTAATTGTTCTGTGATTAAAAGTACTCAAAGCCTCCCACCGCACAGCTGGTGTTTGCTCACATAGGGCAGCTGGGGTTACCTGAGGAATGTTAACCTGGTTTGGTTAAAAGTTCTGTGACAAGCAGAGGGCATGTGATGTGAAATAATCACGATAACAATATACACCACAATAACCTTCATTTAGATATTTTCAGGAATAATTGCCCATGGTCTTTCTCTAATTTTTCTCCTCTTATTTTTTTTTTTTCCAACTAGTGATACTTTGTGGGATCTTGCTATAGCTGAAGTGAAGAAGAGGGAAAACCCTGACAACGATGTCAAGCAGGGGGAAGTTTGCGAAAAATCCATATTATTTATGGGAAACAAAAATGGGGTAATGCTAATTACTGTACAGTTATCCACCTTTCAGACAGATTTTGTGTCAGGGAAAATATCTGATATTTTCACATGTTGAAGTTCACTTAACTTTAAAGACAAAATATGTCATGGTCTCATTCTGCAGAGAGTGGGCATTCCACACAGTGTGGATTCAAGTTTATGGATAGGGTTATCAGTGATGTACTGGTTCTTTGAGGTTTGGTTTCGTTATTTTTTTAAAGTAACTGCCAGAAATAATGCTACTCTCTTTAATTGTTTTCCCAGGTTTAGCTAGTAACAATCCAGTTTAAGTGCGTTGATACCAGATTTGTTGTAGAGCAAGGCCTTGACATGCCACAATGAACTGGGTCTGTATTATGTCAGACCTAATTGAACATGCCGTATCACTGATTACAAACTCATGATTCCATATACCCGCAGTTGTTTTAACTCATTGTCCTGTTAAGTGTCCCATAAGTTTGTCGCTGGTAATTTCATATTTTTCTTTGGTTAGCGTTTATTTGTAAAGTTAATCAGGAAATATCTGCCTTTTCAATGAACTGAGTCATATATTTCTAAGAAGGCCCAGTATATGTGCAACCTCTTAATCAGCAATTTCAAAATACTTTTTTTCAGGGAAAATACAACGACTTTTCATATTTTCCTGAAATTCACTGATTTTTGAGATGGGAAGTGACACACTTAACTGTAGAAGTGCTACAGTGTGGCGTGGTAGTCAGTGTCTGAATTTTAAAAAAGCAAAGATGTATTTTTCTGTTCTTTATTTGTATTTTAATCAGTCCTTTTGTTTCCATCTCATTGGTAATCATTAATTCCAGTGGAAACCACACATTATATAAATGTGTTATTAATAATTAAAAACTGTTAAGCAGTTTAAAAGAGTTGGTCAAATTGATCACTAATGTCTAATTTTAAGTACACTGTTCCTATTACTGTATTTGTCATCTCTAAGTTTATGATTATAATAATGGTAATATAATTTGATTCTGACTGAAAGTTGGAGTTAAGTTTCCACTGTAAGGCTACAAACAATTACATACGTTTGCAATTTTCTGGTACTCTATTACTGGAACGTTAAATAACTTGATTTAGTGATACAGCTTTTATGCTTTACTGATTGTACAGTAGAGTTCTTCTTTGTTTTTAATTTCCAGGGAAAGACCACTATCATACTGAGGTGTCTTGAGAGGTATGTGTCAAATATTTAAAAGCAGTTTTCACCTGTAGATTAGAATTTTACATAGCAGTTATACTGTGTGATAATTCATAGCGTATGCATACAGATGTGTTCTGTAGCTGGTTGGTCACTTATGAATGAGCTTATTTCCCTTCTTTACTGCCTTTCAGTCCTTCTCCTCCAGTATTGGAGAGCTGAAATGGTCCATCTCTTCAGATTGGTGCTGCTGCTTCTCCTGTCTTTGGTACCTGAGACCTCCTGTCTAGAAGTGTCCTCGCTGTACTGCTGTCTCTAAGCCAAATTCCGAACTAACTGATAAATGTAATTTAGTAACTGTAGAATTAACTTCCTTTATTTAGAGGATCTTGACAAAATGAAGTTTTTTTTTTTCCTTGCATAGGGAAGAGACTCCAAAGCCAACAATAGCCTTGGAATATACCTTTGGAAGAAGGGCAAGGAGACACAATGCAGTGAGTATTCAGAAAGTATAATTTACCATATATACATAGATATCTGTATACATATGCATAAAAATAATGTTTGTTTTATTTTTATTTTTAAGAATCTTAGGGATTTTAGCTTGTGGTCTGTGAAGCAAAAAGGAGGTTTAATATAATTTTATGTAGCTAGCTTAATTCTGTGTTTTAATCTGTAATATGTTTTTTCCCCCTCACTAAAACGCAGTAGTTCAGAGACCAAATTATAACACAAAGCAATCAGATTTATCTACAAAAACTTGAGTTGTGTTTGAGTGCTTTTACTTGCCCACTGCAACGTAGTATGCATGCCTTCAACTTTGTCTTTAACATACAAAATGAAAAAAAAAAAAAAAACAGTGATGTGAGAGAAACAGTCATCTTAGAGGATGTTAAATAATAATTAAGTTTTTGGGTTATGTCTCCACATTGCTAAACTTGGCACTGCAGATTATGTTAATGGAAATAGTGAACCCATTCCCACCAGAGCACAACACTGCTCAGCAGCAATAACTTGCTGCAGGGAATTGCTGTTTCAGTTGCTGAAGTGGGGAGTGGAAAATTTGACTCTGAAAGATAAAAAGCACTTAAAACTTTTCCCAGAAATTGAATCCAAAGGTACAGATTCATTATTTTTCCAGTTGCAAACTTCTCAAAAAGCATTAGTCTTAAGCTGCAATAAACAAAAAGAAAGTAAAGAGAACCTGATTTATTTTTTTTTAATGTTTATCAGTAATCATGTTGCTTCCTTATTTTGTTACTTTACAGTAGTCATTTATCAAGACAGTCATAGGCACGCCAGGAGTTTTTCTAAGTGTTATATGGGATTACTTGAACATGGGGAATTTTGTATTTGGTTTTGGTTTTAGAAAATACCAGTGAAATGTGTTCTTGTTCTGAATCACTTGCATGAAAAGCCTGTTTACCAGATAAAGAATTTTCCTTGGTATTGCATGGAAGCACATGTTTCTAACATAAAGAGACTCTCTTACAGCCTAAAGATGTGGCTCATTTTTGGGAACTCGGTGGTGGAACCTCATTACTGGAACTCATTCGAGTACCAATCACTAGCTACAACATCAGGTGAGTGTAAATATTACAATTCCAGAGTTAATTTCAGCTTTCCTTCAAACATAAATAAATCTCTAGACTTTTTATTGTGAAAATTTCTTTCAAAATGTAAGACAGAACATTTATGATTTTTTCTAAACATCACTGTAGTACCATTGATACTTTGATCTTTCTTTTCATGCTTTTCTCTTAATAAACCAAGTTCACAGTAGTCTCAACCAAAAAAAAGTGGTAACATGAAGGAAGTAGGTTGGCCTTAAGCACATACAACAGAAAAGAGAAGACATAATATCTTTATGCTCAGTGAAGGAGCAGAAAAAAGCAACTTGGGGGCATGTGAAAAATAATAAAATCTTGCTTCCTACTTCTGTATGCAAACATAGATGCTCTTTTTGTGAGGGATGGTACTTTAAGGTGAAAAACAAGGCAAAAAATGGTGACCAAAAGAATCTCTGGATGTTTTGGAAAGGACCATCTAATGAGAAGATCAAATAACAGAGAGGTGATGTTTCCAAGTGGGACTAGAGCTATTGAACTTACTTGAAAACTAAAGGAAACAGGAATTTAGATCAAATTAAGAGAATGGAGTGAGAAAAATCCATTAAAATAATGGAATAGCATAGGAAAAAGAAATGCATGAAAAGTTGCATGAAGAAATGAGAGGGTGTTTAGGGGGTGCATTTTATAGGGGTTTTGGTTAGGGAAGATGGAGTTTAAAGTGGAAGGGGAGAAAAGGATCAGAAGATAAGTTTTGTATTATGGTGCATTGCTTTACTTCATTTGTAGTGAGCTTTAACTTCTGTGGGGAAAAGAAAAATCAAGTAGATTTGCTACTGTTTTGGCTATTGAAATAATGCCATTATTTGCTGAGAAACTAAGACAGAATAAAAATAAAACATGACATGTGAAGCTCTTTGTTTCCAGAAGAGCTTGGGAGAGAAAAAATTAACTCTCATCTTTCAGCCCTTGTAAGGTAAATTAACTGATCTTCACCTCCATCAGTCTTTTCTTCCCTTTTTGCTGATGTGAATAATCTTAAGATTCTTTGGTGGGATAGCAACATTCTGTAAGAACAATGAACCTCTC